CACGCAGATCACAATGAGATGCAACTTCACACGCACTAGGGTGCCTGTTTTAAAAAAAACCAACCAACCAACTAACAAAAAAACAGAATAATGAGGGTAGTCCAGGCTGTGGAGAAATTGGAAACCTGGTACATATTGCTAGAAGGAATGTAAGATGCGCAGCAGCTGTGGATACAGTATGGCAGTTCCTCACACAATTAAACACAGAATGACATTTGACCCAGCAATTCCACTTTTAGGTATACACACAGAACTGAAAGCAGCGACTCACACGCTTATTTACACACCAGTGTCCACAGCAGCATCGTTCCCAACAGCCCAAACGTCCATAGCAGGTGAATGGATAAGCAATGTGCCGGAAAGACATTCACTGGGAAGATTATTCAGTCTTAAAAGGGAAGGAAGTTCTGACTCATGCTGCACTGGATGCACCTTGAAGGCAATAAGCTAAGTGAAATAAACAAGACACAAAAAGGCAAATATTGTATGATTCCATTTACAAAAGTATCTAGAGTAGTGAAATTCAAACAAAATAACAGGTTGCAGGGGCTGGGGGAAGGAAGGAATGAGGAGATGTTGTTTAATGGGTACAAAGTTTCAGTTTGGGATGGTGGAAAGGCTCTGAAGATGGCCGCACAGCACTGTGAAGGCAATTAATGCCACTGAATCATACCATTAAAAATTGTTAAAATGAGGCCGGGTGCAGTGGCTCATGCCTGTAATCCCAGCACTTTGGGAGGCCAAGGTGGGCAGATCACCTGAGGTCAGGGGTTTGAGACCAGCCTAACCAACATGGTGAAACCCCATCTCTACTAAAAACACCGAATTAGCCGGGCGTGGTGGCACATGCCTGTAATCTCAGCTACTTGGGAGGTTGAGGCAGGAGAATTGCTTGAACCCAGGAGGGAGAGGTTGCAGTAAGCCAAGATCGTGTCATTACACTGCAGCCTGGGCAACAAGAGCAAAACTCTGTCTCAAAAAAAAAAAAGTTGTTAAAATGATGTTTTATTATGCATATTTTCTCACAAAAAAATGGGAAAAAACCAAAACACAGCAAAACTAGATCTTCCACCCCCCTCATAAAAAAGTTAGACCATTTGGTGTAAATGTATGAAATATCTTTCCCTCTGCCTGCCAGTTGGCAACCTTATTTTAGAATGTCCATACTTTGCTTAAGGCAAGATTTAAAAGATTTCTCCAAATACCCACCCAATCAAAGTTTACCTGGTATTCAATAATAAAGTAACACCCCCAAATATGAAATGCTAAGTCTCACAAAAAAAACACTTTTGGCATTTAAATATCCAACATCTCAACCTTTTGTCTTATTAAATGATTACGAAAATGTATAATATTTTAAAACCATGAAATAAACTAGGTAAAATTAAGGAGACACAAATAAAATACAATGTCCTTGCTGAAGACCCTGAATAATGACCTTAAGAAATACCTGAGTCTGACAAAATACTAGATACGAGGAGTCAGGGCAACCAAGCTGATGCTCTTTCCCATCAGTGGGGTAAGCTCTGAAGCCTCCAGAAAGCTGAATCAGGCCCCATGTCTTTCTTCTTTGCTCAAACATTAATTTCTGACATGGTGGGCATGTCACCAAATGATAATACTTAAATAAAGCAAGTTCACATGTTTTGTTTAAAAAAAAGAAAGAAACAATCGAGTACATCCACAAATAGAAAACCACACACACCTGAACACATTGATGATGAAATAAGAATATTTAATGGCATGGAATGATATGTACACTCGAGGTTCAATGTTTTCAAAACATATCCAGCACTTATGGCTGCCTGTGTAGAGTAAAAAGATAGAAAGGTATAACAGAGAATATTTTTTACAATTTATAAAGTTTAATGCAATTGAGAAAGGTTTCTATAAAAATTGTTAAAATATTTTAGAGGGCAAATGCTTATTTTGCATAGCAATGCTTCAGTTACCTGGAATGCCCTCTCTGCTTTCTTCCAAGCAAATTTTATGAAGTACTAAGCTCAGTGGCTCTGCTCCAAGTGCGAACAAGGTGAACAACCCAGTTCTTCCTCTCATGGAATTCACATTCTGGTGGAATTTATTTTTGCAACATACTTGCTGACAATATCAAATGAATAATCCATTAGTAGTGAAATGTAATTTCACACTCTCCAATCTGGTCCTCATTTTGATAGATGTCTTCCTATGAGATGGATGCAAACTCACAGCAAAAACTATGCCTATACATACAGCCACATGCCACATGACGTTCAGTCAACGATGGGCCACATATATGGTGGTGGTTCCACAATATCGTGTTTTTGCTATGCCTTTTCTATGTTTAGATACATAAATGTTTACCACTGTGTTAAAAATGCCTACAGTCGTCAGTAAAGTCACATGTTGGGGGAAGCAGCAATGGAGGAAGGGTTTACAGTGTGCCTACATAAACTGGTTATAAGTAATATATAAAAGAAATCAGGAATAGTAAACTGTGGAAAACTGTAGGAGGCCTCTGGGGAGGAAGGCCTCTCTATTGCCAGCATGTTCCCAAGTACAGAGTGACCTAAGCTCTGATATTTTAAACATAGTGCCCAAGGACATAACACCCCCTTGAAGCACTGGAATGTAACCAGACACGTAGGCTCCTTGCTAAGCCTGCTCCCACCAGCTGCATTATAAATGGAGAAGCGTATGCTTTTAGCTCTTGAGAAACGCACATAAACTGCCACTGCTATCAATCTTACATTTGGTGCACAGCTTCTCTTTCACTGATTCACCCCACCATCTGCTCTATAGATAAAAGTGATTGTATTCAATAAATATTGTGGAAACCAGAGCTTGGGGCCTTTGCAGCCTCCTGTTCACTCTGGCCCTCTGGTCCCACTTTATGCATACTTAACCTGTCTTTTTCTCATTTCTTTTTTGCCACTGAAATTGGGGTATCCATGGGTGGTATGTGGGGGCCAGTACCCTACAGTTACATGCTGTCCAGGCTTGTAGCCTAGGAGCAATAGGCCATACCATAGAGCCCAGGTGCACAGTAGGCTGTCCCGTCTAGGTTTGTGTGTCACTCTATGATGCTTATACCGTGACAAAATTGCCTAATGATACATTTCTCAGAATGTATCCCCATCTTTAACTGATGCATGACTGTATTTTACTAACCTGGCCATCTAGGACTGTCACCAATAAAAATTCTACATGGAAAATGCTATTTATTGTTTCTTTCAGATATTAGAGATTCCTTTAGTTTTAAATAATCTTGATACACAAACTTATTTCTCTTGTTCTTCAAATATGATAAACCAAGATTTTTAATATTAGCAGGTATGACTTCCACCTACATATATTGTCTTCCACCTACATATATCGGCAACTGTGCTTAAACATTATTTTATTTCCCCATTGCTAAAGGATTTCACTCTTGTGGCTAAAACTATACAATTATAAATACTCATTTGCAATACTTCTCTTTGAACAAATTTGCTTATATAAGATACTTGCTGATCACCTTGTAAACTACTTAACTGTAAAACATGGTATGACTTAGAGTGCCTTGTATATTTTAGTTGTAGTTTTGCATTTTAAAATGTATCAATTATGCTATATAACAAATTAGTTTTAAATTATTTTATAATTTTGATGGGTTATTTGTCAGTCCCCAGGCCTACCAGCATACTAGATGATGAAATTCATAATAGCTCTTGAGGAATAGAGGAACATTTACACCCAGAGCTGCTCAGAAAGTTCTGGGCATGTTCCAGCTGTCACTTCCCAGGTGGAACCAGCCCTGATGGGATCCTCACATCCTCTTCCCATCTTATGAGACACGACGCTGAGCAACTGCCCACTGACAGGTTTAGGCTTTTAGAAAGCCTCTCAGACTAGGCCAGCTTCTGCCAATCCTGCCAATCCTCTTTGGCCCCTATGATGCTGTAAAGGCAATGTGGTACTCACCTCAGCAGCGCACATACTAAAACTGGAACAACACAGAGGTCAGTATAGACCCGTGCACAGATGACACACAAATTCATGAAGTGTTCCACATATGCATATTTTTTGAAACAGGGTCTTGCCCTGCCACCCAGGCTGGAGTGCAGCATGTTATCATGGCTCATTACAGCCTCAACCTCCCAAGCTCAAGAGATCCTCCTTCCTCAGCCTCCCAAGCAGCTGGAAATTCAGGTGCACAGCACCACACCTGGTAAATTTTTGCATTTTTTGTAGAGATGAAGTTTTGCCACGTTGCCTAAGCTGGTCTCAAATTCCTGGGTTCAAGTGATCCTCCTGCCTCGGTGTCCCAAAGTGCTGGGAATACAGGAGTGAGTCACTCTACCCAGCTGTGTTCCATATTTCTACACACAGCTGCACATATGGAGGAGTATATGTTCAGAAAAGTAAAGCTGGGGAAATGTGAATAAAATCAGTGGGCTGTATTAATGTCAATATTCTGATTGTGGTATGTGTGAAATGTTACCACTGAGAGAAATTGGGCAAAGTATACAATGTATGTGACTCTATGATTACATCATATAGAATTTGATTGCACACAACATATAATCATAAAATACATAACCTATATAATGGTATGATTACATCAATATAATGTTCAATTTTAAAAAGACTAATGTAGCTAAGGCAGGTATAATGCATGAGCATAATATGGGAAGCCTACCTCACTGATACATACAATTTCCTTGGTCTCTGCACCTGAGACAACAATCTCCTGGTCTAAAGCTTTAAAAAAGTACTTATTGTTACCTCATCACTATACTAATGTGCAAAACATATGAAATAAGATAGGAAATGTCCACGAGGGCCAGTGATCAAAGGAAATAACAGACAAAAAACCCCAAAAAACAAAAACACTACACACCCTTCTCTAAAAGTTTACATGAGAGCTGAGGGTTCAAGTGAATTTCTTTCCCTTCTGGAAGAGGCCTAATGAAGGTGGTAGAATAAATAATTATCCACAAAGAATTGTCAGGCATTCATCCCTAGTGAAAACTACTAAGTCACAACTAACAAAAAAAAAATATTTTAATGATATTTTTATAGCACAAATAACTAAACTGAGGCAGGCAGAGGGAAGTAGGAGAATCCACACAACCACAGCTATAGCACTTTAAATCTTGACAGCCCCAGGTGCTGAGAATGAACGCGGGTCCCAGCAGCCCAGGCTTCTCTGTTCCTCCTCTCACAGGCATAGCCTGGGTAAAGACATCTCTTGGGCTCTTGCCCCGACTTGTCATTCATAAGCATTCCAACTGTGATGTTTGAAACTGTCTACCTCCGCAGATCCACCCAGTCCAAAGGCTCACTGCAGTTGCCCCTCAGCCCCCTTCAAACTAGACTTCTGGTTTCTTCTTTCCTTCTGCCCCTGAATTCGGAAGAGCTTCTTCCTGAGGTCCTTCTGCCACTTCAGCTTCTCCTCTTCCTCCTTCTGCTTGGCTCTGAAGTGCTCTTTATTGTGTAGGTGCTGCTGCTCCTTGACCTTCTTCATCTTCTGACTATGCACGGTACTCAGAGCATCCAGCAGCGTGAGGATCTAACAAGGACAAAAGCCGGTGAGCATCAAAATGCTCTCTCAGTCACCGCACACTCGCATCCTAAGCACTAAGACTAGGGGCAACCCATGATTCAAATGAATATTAACTGCACGAAAATGCATCCTGCGCTAGGAAGTCATTGTTGGCATGGAGACACAGATGTGATTGCATTTTACCTTTAACACCGCTGTTCATCATTCAGTGGACACTGTACAGCTAACCAGGACAGAAGGGTTCCCCAGCCGTGTGTCTGTTATCCCCCATTCAAAAGCACAGGCAGAGCAGGACCAGGCAAAGGAAGGGAAATGGACTCTGGTTCTTCCTCTGACTTTAGTTTCAATGCCCTGAATAACTGAGACTGCATCAGAAACATGAAGTGTGCTGCTAAGAGTGTTCTCTTCCTATCTAAATGCAGCGTGCAGTATGGCATGGGCGACAGTACCTTTCTTTCATGAGGCTCGCGTATGACGGCTGGTCTCCGCCTGTCCTTCGGCACCTTGCCTGCCTTTGCTTGGGTCTTGGGCTTGTTCTTAAATGGCAGGGCCTTCAGCAAGGCTTTTGGAATGTGCAGTGAATTAAAATGTTTCTTTTGCCTCAGGATTGGCTGAAAAGAAAAATAAGGACTGTGTCATATTCAAATTATGATCAATGTGCATTTAAAACTTCTGCATAAAATCTTCTCATTGGGTTGACTTTTCCACAAGATCAGTAAATAGAGTCCGCTGGCCCTGAGAAATCAGGACTCAACTATCCGCCAAATATGGACTGTCTCAGTGGACACCCACAATTCTCAGTAAACAGAGGAACAGAGAGCTTATACTTACAACTCTCCCCCAAAACCCACTGTGTCCATTTCTATGGTATGGAACTATGGGGTTTCAACAGAGCAGATGAATAGACCCAAGCTCTCTTTTAATGAAAATTTCAGGCCTTGTCTTTTGTTCACTGAGGTGGTTGTTTCCCAGTCTACCAAAAATAATCTAGCTTTTCACCTTGACTATCAACCACTCTGGATTTTTTTTTTTTTGAGATGGAGTCTCACCCTGTCATCCAGGCTGGAGTGGAATGGCATGATCTCGACTCACTGCAACCTTCACCTACGGAGTTCAAGCGAGTCTCCTGTCTCAGCCTCCCGAGTAGCTGGGACTACAGGCACACCCCACCATGCCCATCTAAGTTTTGCATTTGAAGTAGAGATATGGTTTCACCATGTTGGTCAGGCTGGTCTCGAACTCCTAATCTCAGGTGATTCACCCACCTTGGCCTCTTAAAGTGCTGGGATTACAGGCATGAGCCACCATGCCCTGCCAATCTGGATTTAAGGACCATTCTTCCTTCAGTCAGCAGCCAAAGTGTCCTGATGCCTGATTCTAATTAAGAAGTTTAACTTTGTTCTATTTCTGATGGAAGGCTGGCTGAAAGAAGGGAGACTCAAATGACAGATGAAGGCAAAATACTCTACTGAATTTTCAAGGTAATCTTAACTTCTGTTTAATCAAGCTGACCCAGTTTCTTAACTGCCTCATAAACACTGTTAATAAATTGAAAGTTTTGTCCTAGGCTTTTATTAAAGTCAACTATATAGAAAAAGTTTCTCCTATGTCTTAAAATTTATTATTAAAGACATCATCTTAATAATCTTTCATATTCTCTGTTTAGGAACCCAAATTGTTTTCAAATTCAAGAATTCAGGGAAATCCTACAACTTACAAAAGAGTAGAATGAACAAGGGGCACCAAAGTGTATTTTAATAAAAATTCATGTAAGATAGTTCAAAATTTCATTAACTATTTTATATAAAATAAAAACCTAGGAGACTTCTGTTTCTAGCAGAGTGGCAGACTGATGAACAACCCTCTTATTACAAAACTGCATACTCCACAAAAAAGAACAAATCTTTTCAAATGCATTGTTAAGCTTTGAGGAGAATAATGAAAGTTCTAAGAAACCAACATCTAAATAAAAACAGAAGTCCAGACGGGCACTGAAAACCTAAAATTAAAAAAAAAAAAAAAAAAAAAAAAACCTGAACAAGCCAGCTGTCAGCAAGCATGTGCAATAGCAGGAACTCTTTAAGCTGCTGGTGGTGGTAGATGCCAAGCCACTGCACCCCCAGAACAGGACACAAAAACCTCAGCACTGAAGCAGAGCACAGGTGCCCTGGAGCTCCCACCCCACCCAGGAAGCCTCCAGCAGAAGTGTGTGTGCCCCTGAGCACCTGCAAGTCCAATATCCAGACCTTAGTATTCAGGGCCATGGGATGACGACCAAAAATGGAAAACCATTTTACCCACCAATGGATAAATGGTGATGCAATCATATAATGGAACTCAACAATGACAATAAATGAATGTCTGCCATAGACAAAAACATGGATGTGTCCTATAATACTGAATCAAAGAAGCTAGGCTCAATAGAATGTGCTGTATTTTATAAAAGTCAAAACCAGGCACAACAAATCCACATCAGGAACTGGGAAAGCGGCTATTTTGCGGGGCAGGACAGCAGTGCCTGGGAGAGGTCACAGGGTGAGGCTACTGCTTGGTCCAGGGTGTGGCAGCTTGGTGGCCACACTGTTCATCTAAGTGCACACTTAGGATTTGGGCACTCTTCTGTATGTACATTAACATTTCAATAAAAAGCTTATTGAAACATTCAAACTTCTGTAAAAACCCACATTGCTTCAACAGAAACCCAGCTGACAAAAGAAATCAAGAAAACAACCTTATTTATAATAGTATCAAAGAAAAACAAAAACTTAGGAATAAATTTAACCAAGAAGGTGAAAGATATGTACACTTGAAAATCATAAAACATTGATGAAAGAAATTTAGACATGAACAAATGGAAAGATGTCCTATATTTATGGATCGGAAGAACTAATATTGTTAAAATGTTCACACTACTCGAAACAAATATACAAATTTAACACATTCCTCACCAAAGTTCTGATGGCATTCTTCAGAGAACAGAAAAAAAAAAAAAACAAAACAAAACCCTGGCTCACCTCTATAATCCCAGCATGTTGTAAGGCCGAGGCAGGCAGATCATGAGGTCAGGAGTTGGAGACGAGCCTGGACACCATAGTGAAACCCCGTGTCTACTAAAAATACAAAACTTTGCTGGGCATGGTGGCATGTGCCGGTAGTCCCAACTACTTGGGAGACTGAGATTGCAGTGAGTCGAGATCATGCCACTGCAGCTTGGGTGACAGAGTGAGACTTCATCTCAAAAAAACAAAAACAAAAACAACACACACACACAAACCCCAAAACAAACAATCCTGAAATTCATATGGAACCACAGAAAACCCCAAACAGCCAACAGATTACTGTGAAAGAAAAAGTTGGATCCATCACACCTCCTGATTTAAAATTGTATTACAAAGCTATAGTTAACAAAACAGTGTGGTACTGGCATAAAAACAAACAAACAAAAATCAGACCAATGGAACAGAACAGAGACCTTTGAAATAAATCCAAACATATGCTGTCAAATAATTTTTGACAAGGGCAAACAAGGCAACACAATGGAAAAAAAGACAGTCTCTTCAATAATATTGCTGGGAAAACTGGATTTTCACATGCAAAAGAATAAAATTGGATCCTGATCATACACCATACACAGAAATCAACTCAAAACAGATAAAAGACCCAAATAAGACCTGAAACCATAAAACTCCTAGAAGAGAACAAAACGGGAAAGCCTCTTGACAGTGGACTTAGTAATAATTTTTTGGATTTCCCATTACAAGCGAGGCTACAAATGCAAATATTTGAAACAAGGAGGACTGCACCAAACTAAAAAGCTTCCGCACAGCAAAGGAAACAACCAACAAAATGAGAAGGGAATCTACAGACTGGAAGAAATATTTGCAAACCACATATCTGATAAAGTGTTAATATTCAAAATCTGGTAAAGAACTCTTACAACTTAATAGCAGACAAACGAGCCAGTTGATAAAATGGGTCAAATAAGAAATGACCAGTAGAAACTGGGGGATGTACAATAAAAGGTACAAAGCAGCAGACATGTGGGATGAACAAGTTAGAGATCTAATGTACATCATGTGGCTATAGTTAATAAAAATGTATTGTCTTTGGGATTTTTGTTAAATAAGTAGATTTTAGCCGTTCCTGTTACACAACAAAATGTAACTATGTGAGATGGCAGACACATTGTTTCACTATAATAACCAGTTTACTGTCTATATGTATCCTTTAAGATCATGTAGTCAACCTCAAATATACAAAATAATTTTCTTTTTTTTGAGATGGTGTTTTGCTCTTCTTGCCCAGGCTGGAGTGCAATGGCACAATCTCGGCTCACCTCAACCACCGCCTCTCAGATTCAAGCAATTCTCCTGCCTCAGCCTCCTGAGTAGCTAGGACTACAGGTGCATGCCACCACTCCTGGCTAATTTTTTTGTATTTTTAGTAGAGACGAGGTTTCACTGTGTTAGCCAGGATGGTATAGATCTCCTGACCTCATGATCCACCTGCGTCGGCCTTCCAAAGTGCTGGGATTACAGGCATGAGCCACTGTGCCGGGCTGTAAAATTTATTTTAAAAAAGAAAAGTTTGTCTTCAATCCAGAAAGAAACACTATTACCACTTTTTTGGTGTTCTGTTACAAAATATTCCATGAATATACAACTGTTCAATCAAATTCAATGTTAGACTTTATACTTGGACATTCAAAGCATGTAAGACATTATAGAAAAGTGTCTATGTGACTCCCTGTCTGCAGAGCACAGGCTGCATCTGCACTAACGCACACGTGACTGCTACCTTATACAGAGAGTCCTTGTGTGCCTTTAGTCTGATGCCATGGGCGAGCCTGAGTTGACCTGTGGTCCGCATTCCTGAACAGGTGTCTTTTTCACCCACTGGTTTCAACAAAGATGTTACTGGGTTATAGGAGGCTGGGATTGAAACTGGATACCAAGTTCGCATGAAGACAATAGCTGAAAAGAGAGGTACTTTAACATTTTCAAAAGAAGATTCACATCCATATTGCAAAGAAACAAAGAACAAAATCTGCACTCCAAACTTCTTTACCTGGTGGCAAAGTATGTGAAGAGAAAGCTCGTTAAGAAAACTACTCTCATAGATCACAGTACTGTTACTTGGTGTGACCAGGGGACTGCAGACACAAGGTGCATGGGCACATCGCATACAACTGGGAGATCTAATACTGGAGCTGCTCAAATCTCTAGAGACGTGACTCTAGCCTCTGGTCACACTGGCTACAAGTCAAGCATGAATGGTAACACCCTTCCCTGAACACCACACTAGACACTCACCGCTCATCAGCAGCTTATCCTCAAAGCTGGCCCGGAAAGCTCCTTCTGGAGCCCGGAGCGCTTTCTTGATCTGCCCCCTTATCCCATTGACAGTTCGAATCATAGCACCTTCAAATTAGGCCACTTCCAAGGCAGAATTAAACATTCCCTACAGGTATAGCAAGATAAAAACATACACACACACTTTACACTTTATATACTTATATGCTCATATACTTTATGCTTACTTCTTATCTGAAACACACATCACTGGTTAAAGAACAAAAACGATGCACTGACAGGTGATAAAATAATCAAACTGTACTTGCCCCTGAAAGTTGAATTACTACCTCAAAAATAATACAACTCTTTCATTTTTCCCAGAATAATCATGTGGGTTTATGGGCATGCTCATCACTGCTGTCTGCGTGGAAGAGAAGATCAAAGAGGGATTTACTGAACTGAACTGGCCTAGGCAGCCTTTGCTGACATCTCTCAGACTGGACCGCAGCCCAGACCCTTTTACTCAGGTACATGCACTTAGAACATGAAAACAGTAAGATAAATGCCAGTGGTATTATTACTTTATGTTGCAAGAACATTTTATGATCTTCCTAACTGTTGTTTTTAATGGAAACATCCCCACTAAGAAAACTGTCAATAAATGCTGCTCAAACTACCCTCCCTAGATACTGGAAACCAGTACATCCATTTCTCTGTACCCTTGCCAAGTTGTCTGCGAATGCTTTGTCTATTTTCCTACTGAATGGTTAGGCAAACTTGTGATTTTTTTTCCCTTTCTTAACACAAATCCCAAAAGTAGGAAATAAAACCCAGTGGATAAAATGATGTATTTTCAATATGAGTTCTGCAGCAGTCTCACATGGAAGTCATGAGTAACAGCCTCAATTCCTAAATAGCTGTTACTACTGCTTTTTTGAGCATAAGTAACACAGAATATAGACAGCAAACAAAGAAGACACGAGGCTGATAAAAAATTTCAAATACTTTTCTAACAACATGAGGCCCATATTTTAGTATTTCATTCCTTTTCTCAATGTGGACATTTATAAATATGAGAATATTTAGATACACAGACCTTAATAAATGAAGTGTTCTTGAAAATTTTATATGGAAAACCAGTTAGCTTTAATTTCTTCACAATTTTTATGGATTTATCCAGATCAAGGACAACTCCTGCGGCAGTTATCCGGAAATCAGGCCAACAGGAATCCCAAAATTTTAAAATAGGAATAATATCAGCAAGAGAAAAACTTCAATTCTATGTGACACAATAAATTACCAAAGTGAATTTTACTTACAATAGCTAAGAAAAACAAGAGAGACCATCTGAACTTGCAACCCAGTGGTTTGATAAAAGCAATGCAAAACTTTAAAACTGGTAAGCCAAAGTAACAAGGATGACTTAAGACTGGGTGTGATGGCTCACGCCTGTAATCCCAACACTTTTTGGGAGGCTGAGGTGGGTGGATCACCAGAGGTCAGGAGTTCAAGACCAGCCTGGCCAAAATATGGCAAAACCCCATTTCTACTAAAATACAAAAATTAGCTGGGCATGGTAGCGTGCACCTGTAATCCCAGCTACTTGGAAGGCTGAGTCAGGAGAATTGCTTGAACCCAGGAGATGAAGGTTGTGGTCAGCCGAAATCACACCACTGTACTCCAGCTTAGACAACAGAGTGAGACTCTGTCTCAAAAAAACAAAACAACAACAAAAAAGGGTTACTTGAGTACTTTCCTGCGACTGATTTCAGAGGAACATAATTTCATTATAATAATCTATTTGGAATGAAATGGAAAAGAAAAATGCAGTTGCAATGTTTAGGAAATCAAACTTTGGATCTTCAGGGCAGATTCCAACTGCTCATTATTCTGCTTTCTTCTCTATTAAATAGAACCAATAAACCTTGCCCTGCCTGACTGTTCAAATGAAAATGGAATGAACAGACTGCTACTCCAGCATGGCTGCAGGGAGCCTCATGTCTGGCTGGTCTCTGATGGCTCTTCACAACCTCATATAGTGCTCAGCACATGGCGAGCACTGCTTAAGTACTTGCTTAGATAAATACATCCAGAAAATGCACATAAATAGAAAATGTCTTCAGTACCATAATCCTTCCATCTCTCCTCCTATACTCCCACACCCTACTGAAAAGGATGTAGGAAGATTAAAAGCAAAGGGAAATTTACTTTATATTACAAAAAATGAGTAATTTTCAACTTAAAGTCTCATGTACATAATAACCCACTTTCAGGATGTTTTTCTCAAACCAATCTGTAAAAGAAATTATCCAAAATAGTTACCATTATGCCACTGACAGACTGCACTGCCAAGAAACCAGTTCCCTGTGGAGTGACAGGGCCTTAAAGGAAAAGGAAAAAAAGAAATATAGCAAACCATTAGTTTTAGATTCTAGGTTTACATATTGGATATGAACATTTAGATCTGGATACAAATTTACCTATATACTCCAAACTACCTTCCCTCTCCCAGAAAAGAGAAAAATCTTAGGAGTGGAATTTTATGAAAGGAAAAGCACAAAGCTGCAATGATGCAGACTGTAAGGTTTAATCTTGGCAACAAGCAACTTATTGTAATCATATTTTATCAAAAAGGTTGCTCTGCAATGCATGTACTGTGTCGTGTACTTTAGAAGCCTTTGTCTTCCATTGTGGTCTTCGATATAACAGAGTGGGATGGTCTGAAAGCTCCTCCACCCTACAGAAAATATGACTGGATCTTGGAACTTGAGGATTTTCTTATACCAGCGATGTTTCTTCAGATGCATCTGAGGGGATGAAAGGGTAAGATGACTGATGGAAGGGGAATCCACAGAGCCTCAGGCACCAAATATGCAGCAAAGGGACCCACCTGCACGTATCCAACATTGCCCTCACTGTTGCCCAAGCCACCCAGGATAATGGGGTAATGGGGGTCAAAGTTCTGCACAAATTTGCAGGGAACATTTTCAATCTCAATGCAGACGTACATACCAGGTCAAAAACCCTCATACTGAACTCTGGCTTCATCATCTTGATCCTCAAATTCTGCACAGTTCAGCTGTACATGACAGGAAAAAAAAAAATCCACATGCCATTATCTGTAATAAACATAAAATTGACATGAACAAATTAGCAACTTCTAAATAAAGAACTGTGGACAGAATTATGTAGGCTTTAACCTATTAAAAATACTAAACATTTGGCTGGGCACAGTGGCTGACGCCTATAATCTCAGCACTTTGGGAGGCAGAGGTGAGTGGATCACTTGAGGTCAGGAGTTTGAGACCAGACTGGCTAACATAGTGAAACCCTATCTCTACTAAAAATACAAAAATTAGCTGGGTGTGGTTGTATGTGCCTGTATTCCCAGCTACTTAGGAGGCAGAGGTGAGAGAATCGCTTGAACCCAGGAGACAGAAGTTGCAGTGAGCTAAGATCATGCCATTGTACTCCAGCCTGGGCAACAAAGCAAGAGTCCATCTAAAAAACAAACAAACAAACAACTACTACACATTTTACCTCTACAGTCTGCTCAGACTGTGTCAACTGTTTTCTTCCCTGCTGCTCCAAGGGACAACAAATGCAGACAACTCTGTGGAGCCCTGTGTGCCCAAACAATGGAAACATCCCCAGTCCATAACTTTTTTCCCTCTCTACAAGCGATTCTTTCACACTTTTCTCCTGTCTTCAAACACCCAACTCCTCCCTCCCCTTCACTCAGCTGACGGCTGTTTGCTGATTCATCCAAACCCAAAAGAACCTCCACAGTCTACCCCCTACCAGGGTTTCCTCCTGTATCCAGCCTTACCAGAGCTCCGAGCTGGCCCATAGGAGAGCTATGTGTGGCTATTTAAATTAAAATTAATTACAATTACATAATATTTAAAATGCAGTTCCTCAGTCACACTAGTCACACTGGAAGTGGTCCTTATCAACCTGTGGCTAGGGTTACAATATTGGGAAGCAGAGATGTGCATCTCCATGATAACAGAGAGTTCTACAGGCAGCTCAGGCACAGATGATCTGTCCATGCCTCCACTCAGGGCCACACATCACTTGCTCACTAGTCACCATCCACTCTTCCTGGACTTTATTCCAATGGCTCTTCTCTGTTATTTCTCTTATCGCAAAACCTTTGATTCCACTTCTTCCACCAACAACTGCTCCATTCCTCTGCTTCTCTCCACAGCAAAGCCCCACAAAAGTTTTCTGCAGTCACAGTCTCCAGTTCCTCTGCTCCATTCTCCTACATCCATGAAAAGTGGCGCTTGCCAAGATTCCTGAAGGCCTCCACGCCCCTCCTCCAGTGGCCAACTCTGCCTTGACGAGTTACCATGGCAGTGGAATCTGAACAATGTGTCACCTCAGTGTACAGCTGGCCTCCTGCATGCCTGCATGCTCACACTGCTTCTCCCTCCTGGGCACTGCTCAAGCCTCACCACCATAGTCGCCCCTCTCACCCACACCAGTCCTGCTCCTCCCACTCACTCTGCACTCACTCCCTGGTCACCTCACAGCTTTATGTGGCATCTACATGTTAAGAGCTGTTCATCTAAGTCCCTAGCTAGTCCTCTCTCTCTAGACCTGACACTCCGCTTGTTTGCATGACACCCAGCCAACCCAAACACCATCCTCCCAAAGCTGCATCCATAGAGCGTTTTCTGTCTAACTTACAACAATCCACCCTTCCGGGAACTTCCAGTTGTCAACCTCATTTCCTCTCACACACCCCACATTCAGTCCAACAGGAAATCCTACTGACCCAGCTTCCAAATAAAGTATAACCAGTTTGATTCTTTGTCTCATCGCCACTGCCAACCCTCTGGTTTGTGCCACCCAAATGATCTCTTGGCAGAGTGATCTGATTACCTGAATGTCTCTCCTCTGCTCAAAACCCTCCAAGGACTCCCATTTCAGAGTGAAAAATTCAGTCTTTTACAATGGCCCACAGGCTCTAGGTCATTTTAAATTATAAATGGTGTGAAGCAAAGACTTCAGAGTTAGCTTATTCATGTCTGTCAAAGGTCAACACAGACTTGCAACCACTAAGCTAATACCTAATCAGGAGACAGTTCTTTGATTAGATGAAGACCTAGGGTGAGCAGAGCCTCTCAACTCCCTTTCACAAATTGTATACCTAATCTGTTTCAGCTTACAGACATACTCCTGGCCCCACTAACAAGGTGCAACTCAGATGCCTGCCATCAACTATACACACATTTGTGTCTGTCTTCTTCAGAATGAGATCACCACCTCCAACAGCCTGCTCAGCACCCCCAGGCAGGAGGGCCACACCATCTCCCTTTATCTCCACATCTGACCTTACACTCCACATGTCCTTCTGAACTTTGACCAGGATGAGTTTTTAGAGCACTCCTCCTGGGAGCTCTGGTGTGTCCATAAGCCACAAGGGCCACTGATCGCCTGCCATTAAAATCAGGGAGCAGCGATCGGAATAGGCAGCCAAGGCTTGCACTAAAGCAAACACTGTCTCAGATCACTACACTGTGAAAGTCTCAAAAGCAGAGACCATGTCTCAGTCATTTCTAATTCTTGGTACAAAATAGGTATGGATATTTTTCTGGTGATCTTCTGACTGCAAAAACAATGAGCTCATTGCATGAATAAACACACTCAAATCATCTCTACCCAGAGTCCAAATGAATGGCAGAGAAGCAGGATAGGAAGCAGAAACCCAAAGTCAGATTCCTGTGCTATGACAGTCTTGATGGCTGAGAGGAACTGAGGTTTCTCACCTCTGCTTGTTTCTGCATTTCTCCTTTGAGATCATCAAAATATGTGCTTTCTCCTTCATCATATTCTGCATCAAACATCTCCTTCAATTTTCTCTTCTTATCCAAATGCTTTTTCTTGGCACTTTCCTCTTCATTGGGGTCAATTTCTTCCTTAACTTCTTTCTCTACATCTTCATTCTTAAATTCCCAGAAGAAAAAATTTTGTATACATTTATGAAGGCCTTTTCTTTAAACATTAGATTTTTTAAAGTTTTATTTGAACAAAAATTTTAGCAAAAATCTGTTATCATTATCAATAAAACAAAACAAAATACGACATTTGTCTCTGAATTACTTGATATTGCTACAGGAAATGGTTACATCTGCATTACAATTAGCTTCCATTCCTTAAGCTGGCTGGGAACACAAACTGGAATAAAAATAACAGACATGTCCCTCACCCGGATGCCCCCAGACCCTGTTCTAAAAAAATATTAGGGAGAACAGGGACTTTGTTCTTTTAAATTTAAATTTAGAGAAGAGGACAATTAAATTTAAGAAGAGGACAATGATGGCAATGGTGGAATGTAACCCCAAGGAGCTAAGACTTCCATGAATGAAAAATCACAGCGGACTTGGCAAATGACGGGCAAGAAGCAGTAGTACGTGTCATCCGAAACTTAACAAGTAAACAAGAAAGCTTATCTCTGGTCCCCACATCCTGACCTTTTAGGAAGGAATCCATTCATCCAGTCTGCAATCGTCACACATCACAAGTCAGATTTGCATTTCTCAATGTGGGCCTCTCTCAGAACACAATGACCAAGAACAGCCAGTCATAGCAAAGTCATACCTGAGTAATGGGGCCTGATTTCCCCTTGTGCACATACCCTGTTTCCACGTCTTCAAAGTCACCATAGAGCTCCTCTGGAAAAGAACACCCAAAGGCTGCTCTGTGAGCCAGGCATGCATGTGTCGCTGGTCCCACCCGCCACAGGCCCACAGTGTGCTCCATGTTCCAAGCCTCATTCTCACTGTTCCCATCATTACAAACACAGGCAGAACTTTGCACTCAGGAATGCTTCAAAAAACAGTTAGTATTTCGTCATCTCTTTAGGTAAACTAAATGGACCTGAGCCGCATTTTCACACTTCATGTCAAAATGCAGATCTCAATTTTTCCAGTATAGATAATGGACATTCTTTTTTTTTTTGATGTGGAGTCTTGATCTGTCACCCAGGATGGAGTGCAGTGGCACAATCTCAGCTCATTGCAATCTCCACCTCTTGGATTCAAGCAATTTTCCTGCCTCAGCCTCCAAGTAGCTGGGATTACAGGTGCCCACCACTGGGAAAGGCTAATTTTTGTATTTTTAGTAGAGATGGGATTTCACCATATTGGCCAGGCTGGTCTCGAACTTCTGACCTCATAAACCACCCACCTTGGCCTCCCAAAGTGCTGGGATTACAGGCGTGAGCGACTGGGCCCGGCCAATGGATGCTCTTGATGAGAGACACAGGTCTGTGTCCCCCCAAACTAATAGTTCAAAGAGTGAATAGAAAAGCCCCATGCTGATACCAGCATATGTGAAAAAGAGACTCAGTGTAAGTTCAACATGACACAATTGTGTAACACACCTAGGGGAAATCTTAGATTCTATAAAACATAGCATTTAGATCAAGAGTATAGCCCCAAACCACACCAAATCCATGGGAAGAGCTCATTCACTCATTCATTTCTTCATTTGTTTTTGGAGCTCTGAGCTCAATTATAGGTCTCACTCTTAAAAGAAATTGACAAGCAAGGCTGGGTGCAGTGGTTCATGCCCATAAACTCAGCACTTTGGGAGCCCAGGAGATGGAGTTTGCAGTGAGCCATAATTGCGTCACTGAACTTCAGCCTGGGTGACAGAGTGAGACCCTGTCTCAAAAAAAGAAAAGAAAAGAAATAAAAGAAATACACAAGTTAAAACTCATTTGGGAGGCAACATTTTAAAGGCTACTAAAACATTTTCACATAAGAGCCAAAGAACCAGGTAGAAGATATAACAGATAGGAGGCTCCTATTTGTAACAAAAGCAAAAAAGGGTAAAAGAGAAATCAACCTAACAAGAAATACGCCAGAACTTTAGTTTTTTAAAAAAGAAGAAAAGCTTTAATAAGCTACCAAAGGATAAAAGGAATAGCATCACTGCCAACACTTGTAAGTGCTCTCCACACCAGGTACTGCGTTAAGTACTTTCCTTGCCTTAACCACACTCTTCAACTCAAGGAAGTAGGTGTTGTAAATATTATCTACGGAATAATGATATGCCCTTATTTGAAAAGAAAGACACAATATCACTAATATGCCAATTCTTCCTTTAGCAGTTACAACCCAGAACCACCACTAAGGACTTCTGGTCTAGAGAAGACAACACATTATTCCCTCCTGACTAAGAAGTGTAACCTCAACTGTAGAAACAGTAGACAAGAGATGATCAATGGAGAATTCTGAACGGTGGACAGAAAAAGGCTGCTGAGGGGCTCTAGCACTGGGGAATGCATAGTGGCCAGGTGTCTCCCTGGACCCCATCCAACAGGAGGGTGACCTAGGCCCACTGTTTCCCAACTCCCAACCTAGCAACAGAAGGCAACGCAGGCAGGCTCAATCCACCCCAGGACAAAGGCAATCTTCCTCACAAGAAAACCAGCTCCACACCAAGACAACCACCCACCCACCTAGCTGCAGCAGGTGGCCCAGCCGGGGGCAGCTTCCCTGGTCCCTCAGGTGGACACCAGCAGGGACTGGTGGGAGAGTCCCAGTGATACCAGATAAGCCAAACAAACCAAAATAGCACCATGAAAGCTCTGAAATTAAATTGTCATTAGAATCAGCCCACAAAGTAGACCAGGACTTACATACTAAACCTAAACAGGAGAACTGCCTGCAAAAATAAAAAAATTACATAGGCCTTCTAGCGGAATAACCAAAATGTATAGGAATCAAGAGAATATCACCTGTTATACCACTGAGAAAATAATAATTTTAATGTGAAGGGACAACTGAAGACACCAACACTGAAATGAGTCAGATGCTGGAACCATCTGACTCATTGCTTTTAACAGCCAGTATAAAAATGCTTCAACAAGCAACAACAAATCCCATGGCAACAAACAAAAAACTGAAAACTTCAGCAAAGAGAATGGAAAAGAATCAAATGGAAATTAGAAATATAAAATACAGTAACATAAATTACAAAATAAATCTCTCAGGATGGGCTCTATTGAGTAAAAGTGGAGATGACACAGGAGAGAATCAGAGAACATAAAGCCTGATCAGCAGAATTCACCCAGTCTAAACAATAGAGAGAAAATAACCTGAAAACAAATGAACAAAAGTTGTATAGACCTGTGTGACGATAACAAAAGACCCTGCATTTATGTTATCTGAGTCTTACAGGAGACCAGAGCTGCGAGAGCACATAAAGAATTAATGCCTGATGCTTCCCACATTTGGTGAAAGATAGAAACTTACAGATTTCAAGAAGCTGAGCAAATCTCAAAGTATACCAAAGAAAGCAACACCAATTAAACTTTCAAAACTAAAAACAAAGACCAAAAATGGCAGAATGCCCGTAGGGACATGCCAACTCAAATGTCAGTATATTTTTCCTCTAAAATCATGGAGGCAAGAGGGAAATGCCATATTTTCAACTACTTAAAAAAAAAAAACAAAAAACCTGTCAGCTACAAATTCTATATCCTGTGAAACTACCCTTCAGAAATGAGAGAAATAGACATTCTCAGAGGAAGAGAATATAGAAATTCATCACTAGTAAATTTAGAAATGCTAAATATTGCTGTTACTTCTTCTTTTTTTTTTTTTTTTTCCATTCCTCACAGCACATTTATTTCAGTAATTCTGTTATGTCGGTTCTTAGCATGAGCATAGTGTTACACGATTTTCGTACATATAATCACATCCAAAACAAGTTCTAAAATTTAAATTGTAAACATTCTCATCATATGTAGAAATATTTTAATTGGTATATTAAGTTTTGCTAACTGATCAAATTTGGAAGATAATATAAATGAGAACGTCTATTCTAAACTGTGTAGTGAGCATTGTTTATTAATTACATTTCTACAATGTTAAATAAAGAAAATTAAAAAACTAGAAAATAAAAAAATGGCTACAGAAAGTTCTTATGCAGAAGGGATGAATATGGTACTACAGGAAGGCGGACAAAAGAGAAAGACCAGAAACGTGGACACATACACTAGACAATCTGGAGTTCAGCATTTGATGGCTGAAACAAAAACTATACCACCACTTAATATTCAAGCCAGCGATTTATAAAAGCAGAAAAGGTAACAAGACCCAAATGGAAGATGGGTTTCGAGACTTTGAAGAGGTAAATACTGGTACCAGTAGGCTGCTATATTACAATACTCATAACATCCAGAACAAACACTTTAAGGCTATACAAAGAGATACTCATAACATTATACAGAAATAAATCAAGATGGAAGGAAAGAAAAAGGAAACAAAGCAAATAATTAAAACATCAGACTTAAGCAATTATGCAACAATAAGTACCTTAAATATAAATGGTCTCAATAAACCAAAAGACAGACTGATGGGGAGCACAGCTATAATAAACACATGGCCCAACTAGATACTTTTCATAAGAAACTTCAAACTCACTTAACGATGTAAGTAGGCTGAAAGTTAAAGAATGGAGAAAGATATCCCATACAATCATTAATTTTTTAGGGAAGCAAGAGTGAATATATTAATATCTCATGAAGTAGACTTCAGAGCAAAATAATTTATCAGAGCTGGAGACGGTCTTTGCTGAATTTTAAGATCTAAAATTTCCTATGCTGCCTTGACATCTTTGAGCCTCACAGAGTCCCAAAGGCCTAGCCACGGATTTTTCTGTTTCTACCAGACAGCCCCTACCCCGCCACCACCCAGCAGGAAGGCTCCCCACCAGGCTAGTTATTCTATCAGCCAGAGCAGCTGCACCTCAGCCTAACAAGTTTCACTTCACCTGTTTGCCAGCCCATGAATTTATTCAAACAAGCCAATCACAAACCCCTTGGGAACCAATGATCATTGTGCGTTCCTGTTACTATCAAGCCTGCCTGCCTCCCCCAAGCCCAGTCCTCACTCCGCTACTGAGTACAGTGCCCATCTGACCCTGGGTGGCATGCAGTGTCCTCTTCTAAGCTGTGAGTGTATGTGACTAAAACACTGCTGTCAGTCTCGTCCATTCACACCAGGTGTCGTGTTCAGCCATCTCCTATACTTTAGGGCAGGGACCCCTCCTTCACCAATGGGGTGAAAAGGAAGTGACCATAACAACTGCATAGCGACAATAGGATTAACCCACCAACATCCTCCTCTCAGCAACTGTTAAAACTAGGCAGAGGCCGGATGCAGTGGCCCAAACCTGTAATCCTAGCACTCTGGGAGGCCAAGACAGAAGGATCGCTTGAGGCCAGGAGTTCGAGCCTGGGCAACACAGCAAGGACTCATCTCTCCAAAAAATTTTAAATTTAGCCAGGTGTGGCAGCACACACCTATAGTCCCAGCTACTTGAGCTTAAGGCAGGGGAACTGCTTGAACCTAGGAGGTCAAGGCTGCACTGAGCCATGTTTGTGCCACTGCACACTCTAGCCTAAGTGACAGAGTGAAACTAGGCAGAAAAGGAGCAAGGATTTACAAAAGATCTGAACAGTCAACCAGCAAAATCTGACATCTGTACAAAACCCCACTCCCCAACAGGAAAATACATACATTTTTAAAGCCAACAGAACATCTACCAAGACAAAGTACATTCAGGGCAATAAAAGCAATTGCAGCAAATAAAATCATTCAAGTCATAAGAAAATGTTCTCAGAACATAATGTAGTCAAGCTAGAAATCTATAATAGAAA